AATTCCAAAAATAAATGGACTTGTTCGTTTTGTAATTTCAATTTTTTCTACTACATTAATAGTCATATGTGGATTTTCACTATTAATTTCTTTAAGTATTTTATTTCTAGTATGTTCAAATAATTCTATTTCATGTTCAAATTTTCTTTTTTTACTATTATATATATTATCATAATATTTTTGATTCTTTACTAATAATAAATTGGTAATTTTTGTTCGAATAGTATTTGTAGTTGGCAAATTAAAATTATTAATAATTTCATCTAATTCTATTTTATTTAATTTATCCTTTTTTCTTTTATTCAAAATATTAAACTCAAATTCATTTAAAAAATATTCATATAATTTATATCTATCATGAATAGGTTGGATATCATCAAATCTAGGATTAAAAGAAAACTCTTGATTCAATTTATTACTAATCACATCTTCATTTTTTTTAGAAGTTTTTTCACAAGTAATATATTCATTATTAAGTTTATAAATATAAATTTTTAGATTATCTGAATAAATTATATGAAAAAAAACTATATGTAATTTATTATTTTCAATAATTTCTGTTGATGGTGAATCAGGTATATCAATTTCTTCAGATACAAATGTAAATCCAGACATTTTAATTTAAATTTAAAAAATTAAAAAAAATGATATTAATTTATTAAAGAAAAAAATATGAATATTTATATATGTAAATTATTATTAATTATTATCTCTATTTATAAGGATGATGATTCTTAATATTATTAAAAGTAATAACCTGTTTACTTACATGATCACAATTAATACTAAAACCAGAATAATTTAAAGAAAAATTAGTAATATCATTATTTTCAAATTGTATACTACCATTACTATTAATATTCTCTATAATTTTATTATTTAATTTTTTAAATAAACCATACAATTCTTTATGTGTATATAAATGAATTTTACCATTACAATTTTTAGCTTCTATTAATTAAAAAAAGAAAAATAAAAATATATTAATAAATAATTTTTTAATTAATATTATTATTTCAATTGAAAACTTACCAATTTATATTTAATAAATTAAAATAATTAAATTAGTAATATATTTTAAATTAAAATTTTAAAAAATTTCTATTACCTGTTTTTTTAGCATCATTAGTAAAATATCCATTAGTTACAATAATACCAACATAATCACTTTTCTTTTCATGATATATATTATATGCACCATAAAATTCACGAACAACTTTAACATCTACTTTATGATCATCAGGCTTATAATGATATTTTAATTGCATTATATATTTTACATGCATAAATACACCACTAAGATCAATTCCTTTATCAGGCACTCTTCTAATAACTGCATCACTTGAAACATGTGATAAATATTGTAACATCTTATCTTCAAATTTAAAACCTCGTATACTAGCTGATAACTAAAAAAAAAAAATAAATAAATAATAATTTCATCATAACATCAATTCAATATAATATCAAGTGATAAATTATATCAAATATCATATATTTCATTATAAATATTTTTCAAGTGATAAATATTTATAACAGCGTAAACATACATGATAAATGCTAAAAATTTTATTTAGTGAAAACTCACTCTAAGAAATTTTGGATCTTCAAGATTAAAATATTTTTCAATAGCATTTTTATTTTCTTCATCACTTAAATAACGTAAATCCCTTTTTTGAATCTCCATATTATTCTTGTAAAAAAATACATACTATTTCAACTACATTTATAAAAAAAATTATATTTCTAATATTAATAATAAATTAATAAATTTATTTAAATTTAATTCTAATATTAATAATTTAATTAATCACGATCAGTAATTTCAATTTTATTTTTTTTAATTTCAATATTATTTTCATTATCATTATCATCATCTCTTAATCGTTTTCTATTTGGCATCTGTGCTACAATTTGATCTAAAAGTTCTTTTTGTTGTTTAAGCTCTTTTTTTAAAACTTGATTTTCTGTTTCTATTTTAACAAATCTTTGTTTTTCTTTATATTTAGTTCTTGCTTTTCCAAAATTTCTAACATCATTTTTATAATCATTACATTTTTTTTTTACACTATCAAAATAAGATTTATTTGAATTATATTCTTCAGATCCTTCTAAAGGAAATTCATCTTTATA